TGCAGGCAGTGTTCCGTTTGTTCTTCCCATGAACGGCACTCCACTCCTTGTCTCTCCTCTCCCTTGGCTCCTCCTCTGTCTACCTGTGAGGTGTGCACACAGGATGGGTATGTCTTGGGGATGAGGGTGGGGAAACTGTCTGCTGTGAGGTGCTGCTGGGAGGTCAGATGTGAGTGGGAAGAGCTGTTCTCCCATTTCCCCATGTTCCTGGATGTGAGGGGGAGCACAGGAAAGAAGGAGAGAAGCCCAGGAGGTGCCCACGCTTGGAAGAGGACTTCATCTGACAGTGCCGCCATGTCTCAGTGCTGCTGTGACAACGACCACAGACTGTGTGGGGCTGAAGCCACAGAAATGTGTTCTCATAGTTCTGGAGGCTGGAAGTCCAAAATCAAGGTGTTGGTGGGGTTGGTTTCTCCTGGGGCCTCTCTGCGTGGCTTTAGAAGCATCTTTGCCGTGTGTCCTCACAGGGTCATCCCTTTGTGTGTCTGTGTTCAAATTGCCTCTTCTTATGAGGACAGCAGCAGATTGGATTAGGCCCCCCCACCCGTGTCCTCATTTTGACGTAATCTCCTCTTTAAAGACCTCATCTTCAAATACAGTCACATTGCAGGGGCAGGACTTCCGCATATGAATTTTGAGAGAGGGTGAACTAGATTCAGTCATAACATCCCATCATGAAAATAAATCTGTAGATTTGAGCCACGCAGCTCAGTTATGACCAGTTTTAAATATGGTAGAAGACTCTCTTGTCTGCTACAAAAACACAATGGCCCTTTGGTTCCTGAGCCTTGGACACTAGAACAAACACATAAATCAATACATGACCTCTACCAAAGGGTTTGCTTTTATGTGCGTAGTATAAAAAGCCTGACCCAGAGCCACACTCTCAGCATTTTCATTTTTGTCTGAAAACAGCAAAAGGGGAAGGGAAAGAGCATGAGTTCCTGGCCCCAGGTCTGCTGCGGACCAGGTTTATTGCTGTGGACAATTCCTACTTAATTACTGTTTTGACCTGTAGCTTCCTGTAACCTGGTTATTAATTATGACTGCTCTTGTTACCTCATAGATTTTCATGAGGATTGAGGTAAGAGCGCAGAGTGAAACCCTTGGCCATTATGGATGCTAATAACTTAGTTTAGCTCTTCAGTACCATAGATATTTATTGAGAGCTTATTATCTTCCAGGAGGCATTAGGGATATAAAATTGAAGAGAATGGGCCTTGTCTTCAGGACAAGGGAAAGGCAAGGACAAGATGATCTCATGCGCAGCTCATTTCAGGAGAACAGATACAGACACAGTGTGCTGTCCGAGCATGAAGGGGTATTTAGCTCAGCCTACTGAAGGTGGGGCGGTCACGGAAGAATTCTGGCGTCCTCTCATCTAATGGATGTCTCTTGGAAGCATAATTCCTAAATACTCTTTTAAAAAACAGAGTCAGAAATGCAACTGAGGAAATCAGTGGGCAAGTAAAAAGTAGTTCAGATATCAGATTTAATGTGTTCAGATATGAAATATTGTTCATAGAAAATCCAAAAGAATCTACAGGTAAACTCTTTGAATTGATAGGTAAAGTTTTCAAGGTTGCAGGATACAAGGTTAACTGTATTTCTATTCATGGTCATTAAACAATTGGTAATAAAATATTAATAAATTTCCACTAGCATCACAGGCACGAAGTATCCATGCATAACTGTAGAGAAAAATGAATGCAGCGATCTCTAAGCTGAAACTTAGAAAATGTGATAGAAATAAAAGAAGAGCTTCATCTGTGCACAGACTTGCCGTGCCCATCAACCAGATGTCACGTTATTATAAAATTGTTATTTCCAAGAACATCCGTAGATTCAATGCGATTCCAACCAAAATCTCAGCAATATTTTATGGAAATTGATACACTAACAATAAAATTTATATGAAAATAAAGAGGGCCAAGAATAGCAAAGGCAATTTTGAAGAAGAAAAAAATAGTTCAAAGATGACCCGTCCTGTAAACACCCAGAGTTGTCATAGATTAAAATGGCCCAAGTATTTATGAAGGCCATGTGTTAAAAAACGTGTTGTCCAATCTCATTATTTTTCTTACTATTATTATTTTCCTTATTCTGATCTTATCATTAATTCCATCTGTATTAGTTGGCTCAGGGTGACACATCAACATACAGACTGGGTGGCATAACAGACACTTATTACAGTTATGGAGGCTGGAAGTGTAAGACCAAGGTGGCAGCAAGGTCAGGTTCTGGTGAGACGTCTCTCCTAGGGTTGCAGACAATCATCTTATCATCTTCTGTGTCCTCATATGGCCTTTCCTCAGTGCTCGGTGGGAGGAGGCAGGGGAGAAAGAGAGAGAAGGAGAGAGAGAGAGAGGGAGAGAGAGAGAGAGAGAGAGAGAGAGAGAAAGAGAAGAGGCAAAGAAGGAGACAGAGGGAGAGGGCCAGAGAAAGAGGGAGTGTCTCTTTTTATAAGGACACTAATTGTATGGGATCAGGGCCACACCCATATAATCTCATTTAACCTTGATTATTTCCCTAGAAGCCTGATCTCCAAATATAGCCACAGTGGAGGTTAGGACTTCAACATATGAGTTTTGGAGGTGAGGCAGCATAGGCAGTCAAGGAAATAACCATGTCCTTGAGATGTGGCAACCGTGGGAACCCTACCACGATCATGAAAAGCCCCAGCATTTGCACTGTAGTCAAGCTCACTCAAGCAAAGCTGTCTCCAGTAGAGAACTTCCCTGGTCGAGAGCATGTGCATTTTCATTTTACCTGTCCTCAGACTGACCCTCTGCTCTTCATAATAGTAAACTACGCCCTCCTGGGTGGAGATTTCAGATGCTAATGAGACACTGACGTGTGGATAAGCATGTACAGCTACTGCACAGCTGTGCCCAGAGCACCACACAGAACATGCTTCCTAGCAATGCCTCTTCCCACTCCCCCACCCTTTTTTTTTTGAGATGGAGTCTAGCTCTGCCACCCAGACTGGAGTGCAGCAGTGCCATCTCTGCCCACTTCAACCTCTGCCTCCTGAGTTCAAGCGATTCTCCTGCCTCAGCCTCCCGAGTAGCTGGGACTACTAAAAATAGAAAAAGCCAGGTACGCATCACCATGCCTGGCTAATTTTTATATTTTTAGCAGAGACAGGGTTTCACCATGTTAGTCAGGCTGGTCTTGAGCTCCTGACATAGTAATCTGCCCGCCTCGGCCTCCCAAAGTGCTGAGATTACAGGCGTGAGCCACCACGCCAGGCCTTCCCATCCCTTTTGAATGATCAGGTAAGACTTCCATAAAGGGGCCCAGTAACCGTCAATGCTGTCTTGTCCTCAAGAGGAGCCCACGCCGAATCCTCTCCAGAGTGTTACTTCCTTGTTCGCACCTAATGCTCAGAGTGCGCCTTCTCCCCTGCAGTCAGTGGCTCTGCGTTGCACTGTGTGTCTCTTGTTTACATTCTTAACAAAAAAGAAAGGAACTGAGGTCTCACACTCACCATCACCAGAGGCACACAGACATTCCATCCACATCACTTTCCTCTTCCTTTCTCAGGATCTGCAAGCTTATGTCATACTCCTGGCTTACTAATTTTTCATTTTTTCTCATACATGCACAGAAGGCTAAATATTTCTCTTTGGGTACTATGAGAGCTGTTTCTCCACATTTTTCATATGTATTGCCTTCATTATCATTTGGTTCAAATTAAATTTGTAATTTACCTGCAAAGTGACATCAGTCGGCCGGGCTGCATATCTCATTCAGCCGTGTGGGTGCAGCAACAGGGTGATGTAAGGCACTTAAGCATCGTATTTTAAAGACAACTCCGGAGACGTACTGCCTGGCTTCAAATGCCAGCTGTATTGTGAATAACTTTTTGACCGGGGCGGGGGGGAGGATACTTACATAATTCCTATGTGACTCAGTTTCCTCAGCTCCAAAGTGGGAAAAACAAGGTGCGTATTGCAGTGTGTGTCCATGTGTGCGGTATTTCCACCTGTCCTGGTTTGGGAATTCCTCATTCCAAGTGTTCTCATTTTTGCTTCTTTTGGTCCATGCAGGCTTCAGTGGTTCCAGTCTAAATTTCAAGGTAATTTCTTTGCTTGGAATTCCAACTGTCTTTGGGCAGTCACATTCAGGCTCTGCACCCTGCTCATGCTGCAGAGATGAGGTTTGACCTCTCCAGACTCTGGGGAGACAAGCATTTTTCCCTTGCCCCATCCATTGACACGTGGCCCTGTGGCTTTGCAGGTCGTCTGCAGAGCTCAGTCAGTCTCCCTGCTCTGGACACAGGCTGCGCATCTGGAATCCGAGTGAGCTGGACTGCTGGGTCCAGACTCCTGCCTGGGGCCTCGGGTCACCCGAATGCCGCCTGCCGCTGCTTTCACTCTTGGCCTCTGGGGCTTTCTGCTCTTTCTCTTGAGCTCAGCTGGTTCTTTTAAGCATGTTTATCTTGAACTAGTTTTTCTGTGTGATGGCAGTGCGAGAGGCACTGGTTGCCTCAGTCCAGGCTCCTGTATTCTCAAAAACAGGCCACAAAATTAAATCTCACCAGGACTGATGTTCAAGCACAACTTTTAAGTAAATGACACCCCTTTAAGTGGCCTGGAGTAAGTCTGGACTTCAAAAAGAATTAGTTCATATGATTCATTTTGTTATGGTTTTCCCCAGTGAAGTGTTGGACTGTAGCACAATTCTTGGCATGAGCATTCTTCTCTATTCTTTCAGGCATGAGCTGCCGCTGGAGGGTGAGCCATCTCCAGCACAGAGCATCAGTCTCACCAGAAGAGGATGGGGCTAGAGAGCTCGGCTGCGGGAGATTCTCCTCCTCACTGGGCAACTTAGGGTTGTAACATTTACAGGCTCTGTCCACTGTAACTTTGTCCAGCAATTTCAGTCTTTATTTCCAGGGACCCTGTTTGAGTCTGTGAGTCTTTTGTGTAGTATCTCTGCTTTCTTTCATAAGTTATTAAACTGAATTTTTATTAAGGACCTCTTCTTTTTTGTAGCATAACTACATTTCGAAGATACCTCAGAATTCTTTGGGAAGAAATGGGTAAGTATGTAAAACTATTTATCTAAGTATATTGAACAATCTCAAGAAAAGTATTATTGGGCATCAAAATTATTTATTCTTTTTCTTCTCTGTTTTGTTGAATTTCATTAGAAGCTTAAATTATAAAAATGAAGCATCTATCTTGCACTTTGGCTGAGTGCCTGGATCTGTTCTAAATTGGATCTTATAAATATTCCATCAAGTCCTATGTAATGGGTCTGCATTTTCCTGGCAGTTAGCCTGTGTGGATGGCATCTTAAACATTTGTGCCATCTTTGCAAAACTTGACAAAAACATTTCAAACACTAATAGCTTTGTTAATAAATTACATGGCACCCAAGCACTACGTTAGTTAAGAAAATTCTTGACACCAATCCTTCTGCTGTTTCACATTTGATATTTGGTAGGGGACTGCTAGCCTGCAGAATATCAGTTTAAAGCTGCACCTCAAATGGAAGCACTGAGAAAATGCCCAATGCAAGGTTGCTGAGGCGCTTTCCCAACAAGGAGGGACAACTAGTGAAACCAGGTGCTCGGCTCCATTTAAAAGCTCATTTCATTCGGAGAGTCCGACTGGGCATTCCTTTTTTTTTTTTTTTTTTTTTAAGACAGAGTCTCACTCTGTCTTCCAGGCTGGAGTGCAATGGCATGATCTTGGCTTACTGCAACCTCTGCCTCCTGGGTTCAAGCAATTCTCCTGCTTCAGCACCTCCAAGTAGCTGGGATTACAGGTGCACGCCACCACACCCAGCTAAGTTTTGTATTTTTAGTAGAGACAGGGTTTCACCATGCTGGCCAGGCTGGTCTCGAACTCCTGACCTCAAGTGATCACCTGCCTCGGCCTCTCAAAGTGCTGGGATTATAGGTGTGAACCACCACACCCAGCCTGGACTGGGCGTTCTATAGTAGAAAATTTCCTCTACATGCCAGGAAGGACTCAGTACCTCAAGAGCAAGCCATGTGCATTAGTACAGTGTTTATGAATATGTATATTCATACATAATTTAAACTATTCGTAAACGTACTGATAAAAACATTCTCAGATGAAGTGTATGCTACATTTTAATACACTGGAAAATAATAAGCCAGTAAAACGTTACTTTGTGCTTCTAGATTAATTTCTTTGGGGAAGACTTTGAAATAAAGATAATCCTGTCATTTTGGGGCTCATATTTGAACTTCTTGTAACTCCATTATTAATTTAAAAGTTTTATCTCTATAATGATCTTTTTTGGAATTTAGGCTTGTGATTCCCACTCATGTCAAAGTCTGCAAAAGACAATGTTTCCAGAGCATTACATATGTGTGTGTGTATAGATATGTGTGTGTGTATATATATTTGTAATGGTAATACTAGCTCAATGAATGAGCACACAAGCTTTTACATATACTTGATATTTGACCTAGTAGCAGCTTATCAGTCATTTGTAACAGGTGAATATGCATCTGGCCATCGTGCCCTTATATTTTAGGTACATAGGGTAGATATTGTAAGCCTGGGGCTGCTTTACATATTTTTACAGGTACCCGCGCTTCTTGCAAACATCTGGATCATTTTGATTGAAGAACAGCTAAAGACTGCAAGGTGAGATGTTAAAAACCCACCATTATTTTCTACTAAGTAGGGCAGTGTGCAACCCAAACAAGATACCAAAGTGAACGGGTGCAGAGGCTGATGGGGTGTCTGCAGGTGCGGTGAGCAACTCCAGGATCGTGTGTGTGTCAGGATCTGTTATGATCTTCATTCATTTCCTGTATCATAGGAAAATGTTTCCTTTAGAAGAGTGTGTTCATTTATGTGTTTATATGTCTAGCATACGCTCACTTTTATTTTGTATATTGGGGTTCTCTGTACCTATTTTTCCTCCAGAGAGGGTTCTGCCACTAAAGCTATTTAAAAGCTGATAAAATGGCAAGAACATGGATGGGAACTTGGGAGCAGCGAAGTTTGACTTTTGGTTCTAAAACCTGCTAGACGTACGGCCTGAGCCAAGTTGCCTAATCTCCCAGAGACACAGCTTCTCTGTGGATTGAATGTGGGTGGGACCCTACCTCATGGATTTGGAATGAGGATGAAATAGGTAATGTGGAAACCACTGAGCATGGTCCCTGACATACCCTTGATGGACACCAAATAATATTGTACTGGTAATACTGTTGTGATATGGTAGGAGTTTTGGCTTCACAACAGAAAAATCAAGGGTCAGGAGCTCTGGGCCAGTGTGTGGAGGAGTTTGAAAGCTGGCTGGTTGTGAGGAAACATGGTATTATTGAAGTTTAAGTAAGTTCAGGAGTGAAGAGAGGTCACAGACGTGGTGTGGAATGCGGCTGGTTTTATGTACCTTGTGTTTGTATTTGATAAATACCATTTATCTTTTAAATTATGACACAGTGTTAACGAAGACAATGGGAACTTACTGTATTTTGTACTGTCTCTGTGCCCACACTCTCATATAGTACTGAATCCTACAATAGAGTTGTGTATAGAGTCAATAATGATTACATTGTTTTCATCAATTTAGAATTTAGAACTTTGAATTTGGAGGGGAGATGAAAGACTATTTAGAGTGTGTCTGCTCACTTCATAGGTGATGAAAACTGAGGTCAGAGAACTGGGGAGCTTGTGCACGATAATGACTAGCTCCGATCTGCAACCCGGATCTCCTGGTGCTCAGGACAGCGCCCACATGGTCATCCTGGCCCGGCGACTGTCACACACTGGGCCTCCAGGTTGATCTGGTTCCATAAATCCAGGTCCATCCTCACCCTTGGTGTCAGAGTTCCAGATTGTGCATGTTTTGATCTGTGGGAATGAAGACGGGGTCCCTGTAGATTAGATTACTTTCAAGACTTTCCTTCATAGAGCGCACAGTTCTCTGTTAGTGATAACCCAATTTGCGAAGCAGTGGGGTGTGTACTTTATGCATTTCCTATTTTCCATCACTGTGAGCAAGGACAGAAAAAGCAGACAGATCAGTCCTTAGGAGGTCGGTGAATGGCAAGGCAGTGAAAGATGAAGAGTTTATTGATACTAGAGACAGTTTCTTCATGGGGAACTGAATATTAGATTAAAATCTATGCTTTTTCCTCTCCCTTTGCAGCTTGTATAACCCAGATCTGGCTGTATGGTAGGCGCTTATTAAAAGAAAGCTGGAGATAGATGTAGGTGAAGACAGAATTCAGCATGCTTGAGTTTTTATTAACTGGTCTGTTAATTTATCCACCCATTCATCAAATTATCATTAAGGACCTCCTGCGTATTACCATCACAATGCCTAGCATATAATAGGTGCTTACTCAGTGGTGGATATTATTACTTCTATCATTGTTATAGTAACACAAATACTAGTAAAAACAACCCTATGCTGAAAAATGCTGAAGCAAATTAGGTTTCATCTTTGCAGAGCTTAGAATTTGGTGGGAGTGCTGTGATCGGGCAGGAAGAGAGAAAGTATGCTCGTGTTTGTAGACACTTGCCTGAGTCTCGATGTTTTTAATCCACTCTGGCAATCTCTGCCTTTTAATTGGTATATTTAAACCATTTATATTTAAAGTGATTTTTGATCTCGCTGGATTAGTATTTCCCATGTTTGTAACTGTTTTCTATTTGTTGAACTTGTCCCCTTCCCCTCTTTTACTGAGTTCTCTGGTTTTCACTGAGCATTTTACATGATCCCTCTTTTTCTCTTTTTTTGGCTTATCAGTTATATTTATATCTAAATATTTTCTTAGTGGTTACTCCACAATTTGCAATAAACATTGACGACTACTTTAGGTTCACTTTGAAATAACATAATGCAGTTCACTAGTAGTGCAGGTAGGTACCTTACAACAAGGTGTCCAGTCTCTCCTGCCCATCTCTTACAATGTTGCTGTCATTCATTTCACTGGTCTGTATACTATAATCACCTAATACATTATTACTATTGTTACATTGAAAAAATAGTTACTGATAAGAAAAGATTAAGGATAAGAAAAAATATTTTACCTTTATTTACTCCTTGTCTGATGCTCTTCCTTTCTTTAAGTAGTTCAGAGCTTCTGACCTATATTATTTTCTTTTGGTGAGAAAGGGAGCCAGACGGGGATGGAGATGGGTAGTCATCCTCCCTGCAGGTGGTAGGTGAGATAAGTCCCCGGTAAAGTCTTTTCCCTGCAGAGGCTTTTGTGATGGAGAATGCTCTGGGTGTTTCAGAATGATTATTTTCCCTTCTCCTTGACTAAAATACAAGGGAATTTTCTTGGCTCTTTATTTGAGAACCTGGTGGGGTTTTATTTGAGAACCTGGAGGTAAGAGTGTGGGCCCCGCTAAGGTTGGGCCTCAGGAATTTCTCACTCTCAGGCTGGTCCCTGTGCAGGCTTCCGCAGTCCATCCAAATCACCCTCTAATAGTCCTACCAGCTTGTGGCTCTAGCCCTTCCGCCCCAGGTGAGCTGATTCTGGCGGCGATTCTCCATGTATTCTTTCGTCTCTCAGTTTTCAGAGCAGTGGTTTTCCCTATGACCTCAATTGTTCAACAGATGCAAAAAAGGTCCTTGATTTTCAGATGGTTCAGATTTTTTCCTTTTTGTAAGGACAGGAGGGAGAGCTAAGCTTTTTACATATTGGAGTAATAACAATTACTAAGTGATTAAGGAATTGTTTTAAAGTTTCTTTATTTTTCATATACTTCAATAATTTTTCTTTTAAAGTATTTTCTAAAGCTTTAAACTAGGAAGCTTGTGAAGCTACCACAAATATTACCATTTTAAATTAATTTTTACAAAAGAAGGGTGTAAATACTATTTTTCTATCAAATACTACCACTTCATTCCAGCTCTGGGAGTGTCACTTAAGAATGTAATTTTACAGAATAAGGCTATCTGCACAAAGACAGGCATTGTAATAGTAAGTGTAGAAGGTCTACTGGGATTATTCTCTAAATGATTTGTCATTTAGCTGATTCTTCATCTATGCTGTAAGTTATCTTTTGTCTGTGATGTCTCATTAGTCAGCTAGGTTTGTGAACTCCTGATGACAAGGATGCTGACTTATACTCCTTTAAATATAGTGCTCCCGCCCCAGCCCCACACCCAAAAAACTCTGCACACTTGTATTTTTAGTCAACAGAGATTTGCGCCCTCACCTCTGGACAATATGAAGATGAATAAGAAAGAAATGGCCCTTACCCCCATGGGGCTTAGATTACGGTGGAGGAGACTGGCTTTACTTACAAAACTATGAACCATTTTTATTAAGGTGGAATAAACACCAGGAAGGAAAATACCATTTGCAAAATTTAATAGTGACTTTCCACAGAGGAGGTCTGCAGAATTTGTTGATTTATCCAGAATGAGCTCTGAGGACATGTTTGTTGTGTAGCAGGTGTCATTTCAAATTGACCTCAGCCTGACTCACGTCGTCACCACAGGACACAAGTGACATTTTCAGAAACAGACTTTCCTCTCCTGACCAGCGAGTGTTTCAGCCCACGTGCCAGCCACTGATGTCACCACAAAATCTGATTTCCATTTCGTAGACTATCAGAAATGTGCTGTGGGTGCAGTGTGGTTTCTATTAGCGTTATTAGGGGTTGTGCGGTTGAATTCCATTTTACCCTTCCAGAAAAATGTCCTCACAGTAAGCGATCCCTGCAAAGCAGAGCACTGGGAACGTGGCTTTGGCATTGTCAAGTGTGGTCGTGACGGCGGAGTTCGCTCCTATTACTGTGAGCATTTGTTTTACTGCAAATATCCAGATCGAAATTATATGGATCTGGAGGTTTTGAAAAATCAAGAAAAAAAATGACGTTTTACTTGATTGTATTTCTGACTTTCAAAATTGTACACCAGTGCAATAAAAATTAGTTTAACCACTGTACATTTTGCCACTGCCAGCGAGCAGGCTTGCTCATAAGAGATGTTTGAAAGAACTTCTCATTTTCCCTCTTCTGTGCTTGTGCTGACTTACCCTACAGCTAGCGGTGGGGCATGTGCTTCTGGCTCCAACTCAGGGTGAGTTTGCAAGGTCCTTTATGGCTCTTGATCTTTGGAAGTGACAATCCTCAGCACTGAATATATTTTAAAATAGTTTGTAAGCTCTGTCATTTAATTTTGCTTTCTGCACCAATTCTGTAGGTTAACGCAGTTGACTGTTACTGTGGAGGGGGTTGGCAAGATGTTAGCGACCCACAGATGAGGAGCCTGAGAGTGACTGAAGATGCTCACCAGAAAGTCTTCCATAGAAAATAAGTAGGAGAGGCTGGGTGTGGTGGCTCACGCCTGTAATCCCAGCACTTTGGGAGGCCGAAGTGGGCAGATACCTGAGGTCAGGAGTTCGAGACCAGGCTGGCCAACATGGTGAAATCCCTTCTCTGCTAAAAACACAAAAATTAGCCATGTGTGGTGGCATGTGCCTAAAATCCCAACTACTCAGGAGGCTGAGGCAGAATCACTTGAACCCAGGAGGCGGAGGTTGCAGTGAGCTGAGATCGCACCACTGTACTCCAGCCTGGGTGACAGAGAGAGACTCTGTCAAAAAAAAAAAAAAAAAAAAAAAGGTAGGAGAGCTGAACTCCGATGTATGTCTGTGAATTTAAGGACTGTG